AATAAATCAAGCGGCGTTCCTGGAGTAAGCCATCTTTTTTTTAGCTATTTTTATTTTTAATGCAGTTTCTGTTTCATCTTCATTAACATATTTTGTTAATTCATATTTTAGAGGTTTTCTGAAAAATTAATGTGTTCTTTCTTAGTTTCATGCATGGTCTAAAAAGCTTGTCTGCTCGATTTAACGTGTTGAGGATGTCTGTGTGAAGATTTTTCTCTTTCTCTCTCCAGAGCTTTGACTGAACGTCATATTTCACTGAAAAATGGACATTATTTTACTTTTGAGGATCTCAACGGGCCTTAAAATCGGCTCCAGTTTCTGTAAGCAAATATGACTTTATGTTTGGGGGTGAAATGCGAGCTGTTCTTGACGGGTTACGCGAGTTTCATCTGAATGTGCAGCGGTCTGTCAGGGATGCTTACAACAGCAAGTTTTGCTAGTTTGAAATGTAAATGACCGACTTATTGCTGATTTTGTCTTTGCGGTGAGGAGAGCTGAGGCGAAAGTCTGATTCAGTGCAACGGAGATTAAGAGTTCAGCTCCAGTCCAGAGGCTTTTACTGTTTTATTGAGTCTGACAAGTGCGGACAACATTTATTTGACCTTTGACCTTACAGATATGAATAATGGACTGTATGTAGATGTGGTTTCAAGCATGTAGGGAATGGTGTTAATAATACCAGAGTCAATGGTTCGATTTTCAGCTTTAATGCACTGTAAGTTACTCTAAATAAAGCCAAATGCCAAAATGCATAAATGTACATTTCTGAAGAGAAACGAACGTCTTGATGTTCTGCATCAGTTTATAGATGCATGAAATGCAATGGTTATATACCTTCAAATAACATTAGTTTTCTCAATCAATCAAGCATTTATACATTTTATCCCACACATATAGTGCAGTTTCATTAACTCTATTCAGACAAGACTAGTTTAGGAGGATTTCAACATAGTATATTCGTGTTTCATTCAGACATGCTTTAATTTCTGGCATAATTTAGTTTTTCTGGCATATTATAGCAAATTATGCCCCCTTTTTTTAGCGGCTCTGGTTTTGGAAGTATATTTTCTGTTAATTTTTCCCTTAGGGATTTAAAAAAAGGTCTCAATTAAAGCATTATAAGCCATGAACCAAACCATCTTCTGTATCTACGAAGAGATGCACAACACTACCAACTTTGATTTGAAGCAAAAAAGGTTTTTTTAAATCAGACAAAAATACAAAAGCACAAGACTGTGTACTAAACGGCTTTAGTGAGGGAAAGAACTACAATCCCATGAAGCATTGCAGACAGCATAATAGAATTAAACAGGAGTATTTTGTGAGCGTGGCGAGATCAACTTGATTACATCATCTGCTTTATTGGAGTGGGCGGAGCTAAAGAGCTATGTTGGCATGTGGTGCTGTTTTCACCTCTGATTGGTGTAATTTTCTGCACAGCATTATGGGTAATGTAGTTTTTCGCCAGGAGTTCCACTGATAAACATGGTTATTTTAAAACTAAGCTGATATAATGCAGACTGACGGCTTCAACAGAATCAAATACCATCGATTAACAACCACGGAGCTGACAGTAAGCCTGTCTTTAAAGGCTTATAAGTTGTTGTTAAAAATCAATTTCACTATGGAGGAAAGGTATTGAGTTTTTACTTCCTCTGTGGTTCCTCTGCTAACTTGGGATTGAGGTGATTTTAACCAAAGCAACTTGCTTTGCGTTCAAGATATATATTTTATCGGTTTATACCCGTGTCATTGTTTTTCTCTTTCAACTACAGGCATCCATTACATTAGATTCTGTAACTGCAACTCATAATCTAGATATTGAATCCCATCTGAATATTGCTACTGACTGACTGAATTCATTTTGTTTTAATAGATTGTTTCTGGTAGACACTTTTTGTAGCCTAGAACAATTCACTTGTATTTCTGCTGAATTAGTTTACTGTATGAATTCCATTGGGCTTCTTGTAACTTGTAGAAACTCTGACCTTGTGCCCTGCTTTCATTGTGTTTTTACATGCCTTTAACCCTCCTAATGTTTCTGACAAGATGCATCAGAACACTGGACCTTTTTATATTCTTAATGAGTATTATATTCAGCACAGGACGAGCATATAGGGACACATGAGATGTTAGCATGAGCGTGTCTATCCTCTCGCGGGACGTCATTAAACCCGTGCTCGACACCTGATCCGCTCATTCCCGTCATTCCCAAACTCCCAGGTGATCTTTCTCAGGAGACCGCGAGTGTCTAATGCCGCACGAGACAAGTTGTCATTTTTTGCTCCTCCTCATTCTCTTTTCTCAGAATGATGCAGTAAAAATATTAGGGCTGTCAAACAATTAGTCACGATTAATCGCATCCAAAATAAAAGTTTGTGTTTACATAATATATGTGTGTGTACTGTGTATAATTATTTTTAATACATAAATACCCACACATGCATGTGTATTTAAGAAATATTTGCATGTATATACTGTATATAGACTGAATGTAGCCTATATATAATGTATATTTTATATAAATATAAACATTTTATATATAAATAACATATTTTTCTGAAATATATACGTGTGTGCATTTATATACAAAATAATTATACACAGTACACACACATATATTATGTAAACACAACCTTTTATTTTGGATGCGATTAATCGCGATTAATCTTTTGACAGCCCTAAAAAAAATATTATTACAATTTCAAATAACCATTTTGTATTTGAATATGTCTAATGAAACTAAACTCTGCATGTAGGAGTTAACTACACTAATAAAGTGTAGTGATTTTGAAAGAAGTCTTTCTGCTCACCAAGGCTGTATTTATTTCAGTCCTTCCAGAAAAACGAATTTTTTTGTGATTGTTGCGGGCAAAAAAGCTTGATTATGCGGCCCGGTTTCTTTAAAAATGCGATGGAATATGCGGGATATTTATGCAATTTTATGCGATGAACTTGCGGGAACTTGCAAAAACTGCGGTTTGATGAAAAAGAGAGAAAAAAGTGATTCCCCCAACACCCTGTTCTCACTAGGCTACTATCTTAATGTAAAGAGTCATTTCTTATTACTTCCTATGATAAGCAAACATAACTACATCACAGAAAGTGCTGGAATATTTCAGTTCTCATCGTGTTTTATTTCAGACTTTAATAAACACATCAAACTTACAAAACATTGATGAGTCAAACCAGTTCTGTAGCTTTACAAGAGGAATATGCTACAACTTCTGTAAAAATGAATAAATAAAATATAAAAAACAAAGTGTGCTCCTGTTTTACAGCTTTTCGATGATGTTCACGTCGCGTAATTACGTCACTTCATAACGTTCCCATGGCAACAGGGGGAAACGGCGGCTCTCGTGTGAAGCAAACGCAACATTTTTCAACTTTCTGCTGAGATATATGTGACTTTTTTGCAACGAAAATGCGAGAATTATGAAATCATGCAAGCTCCGCATATTTTGCACGGAAATCGGCAATTTATGCGGCGAAAGTGCGGCGTATTTGAAAAAATGCCCCCGCATAAATATGCGGACTTTGCCTGATTATGCACTAAATCATGCGATCGGATAATCGCGTTTTTCTGAAGGGGCTGGTTATTTGATCAAAAATACTGTAAAAATTGTGAAATATTATTACAATTTAATACAGCTGTTTTCTATGTGAATATATAGTAAAGTATAATTTATTCCTGTGATCAAAGCTGTATTTTCAGCATCATTACTCCAGTCTTCAGTGTCACATGATTCTTCAGAAATCACTCTAATATGATGATCTGATGCTCAAGAATATGATTATTATCAATGTTGATTTTTGTGGAAACCGTGATGCATTTTATTTTTAAAATATAGAACAGCATTTATTTGAAACAGAATCTTTTGTAACATTATAAATGTCTTTACTGTCAATGTTTTGATCAATTTAAAGGGGTGGTTGATTATGATTTCACTTTTTTAACTTTAAGTTGTGTGTTTTATCTTTAGTTAGTGTGTAATGTTGCTGTTTGAGCATAAACAACATCTGCAAAGTCTCAAAGTTCACAGCAAAGGAAGATATTTTCTTTTAAAGAAATTGTTTTTTAAGGACTACAACAAACGGCTGATAGGAACTACACGAGCTTCCTCCCGGGTTAGTGACATCACAAACCCTAACATTTACATAAACCCCGCCCCCGGAACACGATATATAGATTATCATGACAGAATATGCTAATCAATGACTAGAAGATGACACATAAGAAGCTACATAAATTCATCAACTAACCATTCAGAAATGTTGTCTACATGTTGTCACTTCTTCTTGAGTCTCTCCATCTTTCTTTGACTCCGATTTGAACATAAAAGGATACAAGTTTTTGAAATTTTCAAGCTCTTGAAGCTCCGCCCCCTCTGCCGGGAGCAGCAGCTCATTTGCATTTAAAGGCACAGACACAAAAACTAAAAAGTGACAATTTTAACATGCTATCTACAAATACCTGTGGGGTATTTTGAGCTAAAACTGCACACACACACTCTGGCGACATCAAAGATTTGTACATCTTGTGAAAAGTGCATTATACCAACCCTTTAATGCGTCCATGAAAGTTATTCTTTTTTCTTCATATTCTTTATTCTTATAAGTATCATATTGCCTGTGTCACCCAACACTCTGCCATTATTTGAAACTACCTGATCTCCACGTTCTCCCGGGGATCCTTCAGTGCTGCTGTGACTCAGACTCTCGATTAAAATAAAAGCTTCCTAACCTGCAATCATCAAACAGCCCCTCTAATCCGCCCTCGACACACACTCTCACTCATTCCTCTCCGCCGCGCTGCAAATGACTGTTATCTCATCAAATGGATGAGTCCTTCTGTAATTTGAAGGCAATTGCTGGTCATTTTCAGAGCCATTTTGCGGCTCTCGTCGCCGACTGCCTGCGAGAGTTCATCGAGATTATTACACTCGATCTGGAGAGAGGAGAGGGAATCCCTCAGTGTGATGACGGAGATGGATGGATAATTGAATATTTTATAAAGCTCTGTTATATCTGATTTGTGTGTGTTTCCTTGCAGGTGATGAAACGTGTGAAGCCGGGCCTGAAAGAGTATGAGATGGAGAGGTGAGTATTGATTGATTGAGTTGCCGGTGTCTCGGATTGCATGATTACATCAGCCCTAATGAAGAAACTCGCAGCCCTTTTCCTGTGAACTCACTGTCAGAACCAGTCTATGTTTCCACTGAGAACCGAGCAAATATACGCTTCACAGTCAAAGTTTTAGTGGTGTTTAGTGTTTGATCATGAAACATCTCTTGAAAGCTCCAGTTCTCCTCTATATCAGTGTTTCTGAACTCCTGAAACGCCTCCATTGTAGTCTTGAGTTTCTTCCGGGAACGAGCACGCCACAATATTCCTCATTATAATAATTAATACGCAGAATAAAGGGGCGGGGCCTAGTTGAGTTAGTTAGTAGTGTGTTAAACTGGTGGTTATGGAAAGGGGCGGGACATTTCCCAAACACACTTGAAGCGCTCAACCAATCACAACACACTGCTCCAGCCGACCAATCAGAGCACAGTGTGCTTTTCAGAAGGAGGGGCTTCATAGAGACAGGAAGTGAACAGAGCGTTACTGACAGACTGGGAAGAGAGGAGCCGCAACAATGGAGAATATGAGGAAAATAATCAACATTCAAGCAGGAAAACCTGTTCTAGTAGAGCCTGAAACTACATCAAGAGTTTATAAAAGTGCATATAGGTCCTCTTTAACATCCGAAAACATCATTTGTTTTGTGTCAGTCTAGCATTGTTGTTGTTTTGGAAACTCTACATCCCGCCTCGTTGACCGTTACCACCAGGTTTATTAGATCGTTTTTGTTTTAGATAGTTCATGTAAATGATGTGGTTTGCAAATAATTAATGTGAGATTGACTGTGTGCACATTAGTACCATTTTTTTGTTTATTGCTGCTGTTGATCTGTTTTAGACGTCTGGCATATACGTTTTTGATAATCTAAATAAATACTAGATTGTACTAGATTACTGATTGTAAAAGTAGATCGTCTTCGGGGTCGGTAAGATTTGTTTGCTTTTTTTTTTTTTTTTTTTTTTTTTATGTTAATACTTTTTTATTTATCAATGACACATTAAATTGATCAAAATTGCCAGTAAAGACATTAAAAATACTACAAAAGATTCTATTTCAAATAAATGCTTTTTTTTTTTTTTTTTACTTTCTATTCATCAAAGAATCCTGAAGAATAAAAAGTATAACAGTTTCCACAAAAATATGAAGCAGCACAACTGTTTTTAACATTAAGAATAATCATAAATGTTTCTTGAGCAGCAAATCATCATATTAGAGGGATTTCTGAAGGATCATGTGACACTGAAGACTGGAGTAATGATGCTGAAAATTGAGCATATATTATTATTTTAAACACAATATTCAATATTTCTGTTTATGAAACCGTTATAGGATGAGCATCTTGTAGTTTAGCTTCAGTCTTCCTCCACGCTGTAGTTTGCAGTGTTATCTGTGTGTGAGGTGTTGATCTTCCAGCTGTGATAGTGTTCTGTGTCTGATAACACCAGTCCACCCGTTCTCTCCTCTCCAAACAAAAGCTCTGATAAGCTGCAGCTTTTTTTTACAGGGATTTTCCCTCAAAATCTTCCGGTCGAGAACTGTAAGATAAGGCCGACTCCCTCCACTTGTTTTGCTCTCTAAAGAAGCGTCCGGAGGTCTCGAACGGGTTCATGCAACAGTGGCTTTCTCCAGGCCTTCAGAGATTGTGATGCAAGATCTACTTCCTCTAATCAGCTTTCAGCTCTGGACACACAAGTGCATGCTGGGATGTGACCTTCTCTCGTGACATCACTCCATTCATCTCTCAGGAGAAGCCAATTTCTGTTCGGTTTCCTCCTAACTTTCTTTTTTCGCTGTGAATGTCAGTTTCCTGCAGGGATCATGAGGGTTTTAATGTGAGAGATGCTTTGAGCTTCGTTGTGGCACACAGTCGCATTAGGCCATTAGAGGCCAGTGACTCACTGATGACTGGACATAATGAGAGAGATTGGGGCGAACAGGTGTGTGTGTGTGTGTGTGTGTGTGTGTGGGGTAACAGGACAGACCCGCAGGCAAGGTCGCGACTCGCGGCGGTCAGATTTACTCACACACTCACTAGGGATGAGCGCAAGTGAGGGGAAACATTGATGGACTTTTTTTTTGTTTCGTAAAAAAAGTTTGCAAACAAGTGTCTCAAGTGAACCTACACTGCGATTTAAAAGTTTGTTTTTATTATTATTTTTAATATATATATAGATGTTTTTGAATGAAGGCTCTTTTGCTCAACAATGGTGTTTTAATTTGATCAAAAACAGTAGAAAATGTGGAAAAAAATATTTTTTTAATTTAAATCTAAAGCTCTTTTCTATGTGAATATATAGTAAAGTGTAATTTATATCCTGTGATCAAAGCTGTATTTTCAGCATCATTACTCCAGTCTTCAGTGTCACATGATCCTTCAGAAATCACTCTGATATGATGATTTGCTGCTCAAGAAACATTTATGATTATTATCAGTGTTGAAAACAGTTGTGCTGCTTCAGATTTTTGTAGAAACTGTGATGCATTTTATTTTTCACGATTCTTTGATGAATGAAAGGTTCAAAAGAACAGCATTTATTTGAATTAATATGTTTTTTACATTATGAATGTATTTACTGTCACTTTTAATGCATCCTTGATGAATACAACCAACTTATTTCAAGAAAAACAAAACTTACTGACCCGAAACTATATTGTATTTAGATTATTTTTACATCTGGTTGGAACAAAACTGAAATTATGCCATATTTATTGTTGTTTGAAGAACAGAAGACTTAAACGAACATCCACAAAACAATCATTTTTAATGTTGTGATTGATGTTACAGTGGTATTGTTGGTGGACACTTGCTGTCCGGTTGGTTAAAGAAGATTACATTATATTAGTGTTTGTCAAGCAGTCAGAATGACCAAAACACACATCTCTAACGCATGCATGCAGTTAACAAACATAAATAGACGGCATAAAATGCCATATAAATGATAGCATAGACGGTGGCGGCGTCTGAAATCACATGTAAGAATTATAAAATACTTCACGACCGCTAAAAAAGTATGTTTTATATAGTATGAATGTAATCTGGACGTACTACATTCGCCATGTTGTCATTATCATGTGACCAGTGTCAGTTGCGTCGGCGACACCTCTTTTCTTTAATCGACTATATATTAGGGAATTATGCATTTTTTTTGGATGCTGGATGCTTTTTTTATGCATCTTATTTTATCATGCATCACAGATGCTCATTTTTAACACTCATTTTTGCTTCATTACATTTGTAATTGGTTATTAAATGAAGCAGCTGAGGCCCCTCAGTGGGAATGACACGGAAATCTGCCGCAAAATTGCTTTTTAGAAATGGAGAGATCTCAGTTTTAGTTGATATTTAACAGAATATTCTTGGCTAAGGAGTAAATGTAGAAACGATATTCATTAAATATTCGATTAATAGTACATTTTCAGTGGACAATGTGAGTGATTCTTGCCTTGACAACACTCTGCAAGCACAACTGATTAAATGAAATCCCTATTTTAGGATGTAACACATCCTGATTTCTGTGTGTTTAGTGTGTTTTGTTTGTGTGGTCCACCTCACGATATAAACACTGAGAGTCTCTTCCTCACCCTGGATGTGCATTAGTGGCTGCTGCATCCCGTGGGAAAAAAAACATCCAGGATTTGAGACACAGAGTCGATTTAAATTGAGTTTAGTTGCAGGATTGAGGAGCCTCTCACCGCCGCACAATGCTGGAAACTTAATTATTCATTTCTTAGCTCATTTGAATCGTGCGTGTGTGTGTGCTGGGAGGGTTTGGAAATGAAATGCACTGGCAGCAATGCTGATGTCATGGGCGTTTTCATCTTGTGTAGAGGACGTGTGGAGAACATGAGTTTACTGAACACATGAGAGGATAACTAGCGGTGAATCCCATTCTTTTTGACTCCTCATTGTCCACAAGTGTTCAAAGCTCTCGCTCCATACGATCATGTGTTTCTCCATACGTCTGCTTCGTTTACAAAACATATTTTAATCTGTAGATACTCATAGTTTCTATGACTCTTTCACTGAAACACCTTTCGACGGTCAAAGATTGTTCAGTGTCACTGCACACTATTACAAAATGTGTCATTAGAAAGATTTAGGACTCTAGATTCAATATTTGACCACTATTTGGACTGTTTGTTGTTCATATTTGTTATTGTGCGCTGTCAATACACTGTCATTTTGGCCAGGTATCTCTTGGAAAAGAGGTTTTAACTCGCAATGAGATAACCTGTTTAAATAAAGGTTAATAAATAAATAAAATAAAAATTTGTTTTTTAATGGCTATGGTGACAAAATTTTCAATTTCTGTCAGGAGGGCAAAATCAGAATCAATCTATAGTTATTGATCTTTTATTTACATGTTAATTTGCATCTGCTCCGGTTTGTTTGTGTTTGTGATTACTAACATCCATCAGTGCTTTTGGTCCAAAAGTTGCACGTTTGGGGTAATATTGAGATATTCACATGTTCACTTCATTTTTCTTTAGACAGAATCACATTAAAAATATATATGGTCACATTTTAGTTTAGGGTCCAATTCTCGCTATTAACTATTGCCTCAATTAACTCCTAATTACTGCTTATTAATAGTTAGTACGGTAGTTGTTAATTTTAGGTTAAGGGATGAAGAATATGGTCATGCAGAATAAGGCATTAATATGTGCTTTATAAGTGCTAATAAACAGCCAATATCCTAGTAATATGCATGCTTATAAGCAACTAATAAGTTAATAGTGAGAATTGGACCCTAAACTAAAGTGTGACTATCTATATATATATATATATTACATGAATTAAATTACACTTTTCAAATGAGGCTTCCTCATATTTCCAGGTTTTCCAAGCATCCTGGTTCTTCACAAACAACAACAGTGGTTGATTTGGGTGAATTAAATAAGAAATACCTATATTTTTTTTCTTGTTTTGTCTTTTAAATGATTCTAAGTCATCATCTTGAGGCTCCTTTGAA